CAATCAGTAGTCGTGCTGGACGAAACCAAACAACTGTAATGTGGCTATGTGACTGTTGGATGCAGGAGGGTACGACAGGCCGACGTGTTCGATCGCATACACCTCAGTGTACCACTTCACGTGATGACAGGAACATTGTGCGAATGGCAGTGACGGTTTGCTTAGTCACATCACGAACCATAGCACAAAACATTCAGTCTGTAACGCATCATCCAGTGTCTGCACATATCATTTGACGCCGTTTACAGCAGAGTGGTCTGTCCTCAAGACATCCATTGCATCATCGACCCTTGACACAAAACCACAGATTTCTCCGTCGACAATGATGCGATGAAAGAAGGATGTGGACGGCAGAATGGAATGAAATTGTCTTTATTGACGAGTCACAACATGCATTAGCAGAGTGAGATATGCAAATCTGCAACACCACGATGGTCGGATTCGAGTCTGGTGACACCGTGGAGAGAGGATGCTGAACAGCTGCGTTATGCACAGCCACACTGGTCCTGCACTGGGTATTATGGTATGGGGCGGTATTGGATATCACTCTTGCACTCCTCTAGTATGCATTGCCGGTAGTTTAAACAGCCAGTGCTACATCTCCAAAGTGTTGGAGCCAGTTGTCCTTCTTTACCTTCAGTGCTTGCCCATAGCCATATTTCAACAGGATAATGCACAACCACACATGGCACGCATTGTCCAAGGGTTCTTCGTCAATCACCAGATTGAATTGCTTCCCTGGCCGGATCTTTCGCCGATAGAAAACATGTGATCAATGGTTGCTGAACCATTGACCCAGATTACATCACAAGCTGCCACACCAGAGCAACTTTGGCAATGTGTGGAAGCTGCTTGGTCTGCTGTATCCCAAGAACACATCCAAAGTCTCTTTGAATCAATGCCGAGGTGTGTGGCAGTGGTGATCTCCAACAATGGCGGCTACTCTGGCTACTGATTCTGGAAGGAACCACACTTCACAGAAATTTAATCATTTGATACTTGGTCAACATGTTATCTACTAAATAAATTTTGTTGTGATATCTCTTGTCTTGTCTTTCTTGGTGTTGCAATTTAGGTGACCAGCAGTGTATATTATATATATGACATGACTGATTTGGAACTTGGCGTAACAGATGTGTAGCGAAGAAACTTGGCACTGGGTATTATGGCAAGGTAGATATGGTTGGATTCAAGATAATTTTATTATTGAAGAAAGCAATTCCGTTTTTGTAGTACTTGTTTCACATACAGATGAGCATGTGCCCTATAAGTTTGTTAGCTTAGCACATATTCAGTGAACAAAAAACTTAACAGCAAAGTGTCTTGTCAGGAGGAAAGTGTAAGGGAAAACTGTTGCAGCAACTCAGGAAGGAGGGAGGGCATCAAAGTTTCAGTTCAAGTTTAAAAAGTTTTGGTTTACGATTTGGTGATTTGCAAAGAGGTATCTGCATTAAGCGTTACGTAGAACCACATTATTAATTTGAATGATGCAGTTTAGACTTATAGGGATATTTTTAAGACAGAGAGAGGAAGTCCCCAAATTAAATAAAAAATAAAAGAGGTTATAGCCAATTAAAATTAGAAGTTTGCTTTCATATTTTTTATCCGACACAGTTGCCCCCTTCAAAGAGAAAAAGATGGAGTGATAGAGAATCCTTTTTGAGAGAAAAAGCATTAGAGCAGCAAAAATTAGAGATAATTTTGAAAATGCAAAACATAAAATTAACTTTTGAATAATTAAAAAATTATAAGTCGTAAAATTTTGAATTCAATAATAATTTGAAGCACTATATTCTTTTAAAATAATTGCACATTTTTAGAGTCCTATTAAGATTCGAGTCCAATCTGTAAAAAGCTTTTCTTTCTGAAACTTTCACATCACAATTTCTCACAGGGAAGGATTTCCAAATATTTTTCACACAATATCACAATTATAAAAATTTCATATATTCATTAATTATTACGACTAATCATTAATCTTAAAAATTTACACCATACTAATTTTCACATTTATAAGCAATATTTTATCATTTGTAAAAGCATTATTGAAATTATGGTTTTTACATTTATTATTACATTTTACAATTTTCTTATTTTACACAAACTAGAAGACCACACAGCTTTCTCCTAGTACATACATATCCTGCTATTTGGGCATATCCACTTTAATGAACTTTCATAAGTGGTTAAGGGAGCACCTGGCAGTTAATTAGAAATGCCTCCGTTCCTTATATAAGGTAACTGGCCTTTGAGAACTGCAATACAACATTCTATTATATTAAAAGAATCGCACTGCATTATACAAAAAAATAAAATCCTATATAAAAAATTAAATAAAGTGGGTGCCTTCAAAGTTTATATTATATGAGGAGGGTAAAAGGAACAATTAGGTAGAGGTAAAACAGGCCTCTGTTTCTGAACCAGCACTCCCTCACATACTTTATATTTAACATACAATTATTGATAATTATAACATTCATTTACCATCATTTCAAAACAAACTTTAATACATTTTATTCTTAATTAAATTCTCATATATGTTTTATTACGATTATTGATTTTCTTAAACCTTTGGTATTTCTATATTAATTTAACAATATTTAACATTCTCCCATTTAATAATAATTTCATTTATATTTCATATACACATTATTCTTAAAATACTTAGAAAATTCTTAAAATTCAAAATTTTAAACAATAATCTTATTTAGAAAATAATTCCTAAATTCTTAACATTAATTCAAAAATTTAATAATCTTCTCCGAATAAAATTTTAGAATACTTACACATTTTAATTTGATATTTTCATAAAGTAGCACCACTTTTTTTTAATCCATTGAATTAAAATCAATATTCTAAGAAAACATTATATTTTCAGAGTTAGTTAACCAATTATTGAGTAAGTTATTTATAATGATGCAGTTGGTGTTAACTCAAAAACAAAATTAACACCAAAACATATTTTGTCAATATTATCACTCGATTTCCTCAATGGAAACAATTTTGGAAATTTTATTTGGAACTGACAAAATTAATCACACTTTGATACTGATTTTTTCTGTCATGAATTTAACCAAAGAAATGAAGTGCATTCAAATCCTTCAACTGTTTAAAAAAAAAATCAAGGCCATGCTATCCAATAATGGAACAGAAAATTGAAATCTACAGAAAAATACAAAATAAAAAGTCTAAACTTATACAAATGTACAGTAAATGCCAGTAATTCAAAATTAGTTCAAATCTTCAAACAAATGACTACATACATAGATGGACTGACCAGTATTGCCTCTATTTTAGTAGTTTTAGTTACATCAGATAAAGCTGGATGAAACAAGTTCTTTGCTATTGTACTTGCCCTTGAATGCATAGATGTTTACAGTTTCTACACTGTGTATATCAAACAAATTTTTGGCTTAAACAGTATATTATTATTGAATTCTGAACCATGGAAAACATTCCTCCAACTTAAATTCACAGATGAAAGTAAACCATTTATGCCACTTATGGGATGAGGATGTCGAATAAAGTGACTCGGCTAGGGATAAATATATAAGCAGACTTTGATTTCGCAATAAATATAAGCATCTGAGACAAGTCATCAGCATTATGAAGACTGCATTGAAGAACTAATTCATGTAAATGGACGCATTAAAAAAAATTGTTAGGAATTTCTTAGAAATAAAGTAACTTATTATTGCTGCTCATGGATTCCATTAAGCTGGTGCCAAATGGGTACCATGCAAGCTGCCTAATGTGATGAAAGTTGTTGAAAGTTTCTCAGGAATTTGTAGAATACCTCAAAAACAAAGAGGTCTTAATGAGGATTATAACAAGCCATGAAACCTGGGTCCATCATTATGACACCAAGATGAAAAAACAATCCATGAAATACTGCAGTCACAGATACATCTCATTTGAGGAAAAAAAAAGGCAAAATTTAACAGCAACGTTCATGTTGGCTACTTTTTGGAATTCTGAATATCTTGTTTTTCTGATGTTTCTTGATACAAAAGGAACAATAAGCTCTCAAAAATTACACAGAAATTCTTATTGCATAAAAAAAGAAGAATCAGACAAACTGGGGGGGGGGAATGTATCATTTCAATGGAACTATAACATTCACACAGATGCAGCAGGAAGAGATGCAATTCAATAGCTACAAGTTTCAATGGTGCTACATCTACCATACAGCTAAAATTATGCTCCAAGTAATTTTCATCTGTTCCCAAAACTAAATGAACACTTAAAGAACCAGTATTTCAGCTTTGGTAAAGAGATAAAGAATACACTGAAGAGATTTATTTAAAAACTGAAACAGCTATTTTTTAAGGATGGAATTCAAAAATTTTAAAGAAGCATAGATGGAAGTGTATTGAATGCGATAGAAATTCTGTAGGAAATGCAGCTTTGAAAATCACTGATATAGGTAAACATCTTTTTTTTTTTTAATTTAATTAATTAAAATATCTTTGCCCATTATTTTTTATTTAATACGAAGCAAAACTTATCCCCAATCCTTACAGAATGAAGAAAATTCACAATGAAAATCAAGCAGATACGTTTCCAAAACACATTCATAGTAAAAACAATGATGTAAGAAATAATATGAATTTCAAAATTTAATAAATAGCAAAACAAGCTCAGTTTGGCATTAATTTCAATAAAAGGAAGCTAAGTGAACTCTGACAAACAGAAGCATATACCTTATTAAAAAACATTATTTTGCAAAAATTCAGCAAACATACAAATCAAAATATATTGCTGAAATTTTCCAGGTAATAAAAAGCAGATAATATTAAATTAAAATATCCAGAAGAAAACATCATGGTTATGTGAATTACTATATGCAAACGATACAAAAAAGTCAATCTCAGATGTATAACATTTCACATAAAAGAACTAAATTATTTATTTTAAAATTCAAAATTAAATATTTCAGATTTAATCTAGTTTAAACACTAACGATAAAGGAATATTTCAAGAAAATTTTAATATCATACCATTGTATCAATATCAGTTCCAATGATGAAAAGTTGATCTTCCATAGATAATTTTCTGTTATAATGGCTAATAATAAATGTTATAGCTGGCAGCCTTATAGAAGGATTAGAAAGTATGCATTTCCACATGCAACCATAAAAGAAACTCTTTTCTACATTTCTGCACACAGCTTGTAAAAGCTCATCAGTCCTAAAACGATAAAGTTTATTAAACTAGATACATTACATATCTTACAAGGAGGAAAAAAGGTACTTTCTGATTAGGCACACCTCCTTCTAAAAAACTGTCGACTTGATGACGATTAATTTTTCACCACGTTAATATGTGAAAAGCGACAGCAACTGTGAAAATGCAGTACATTAACAATACTATGAAAGAGCAACAAAGCAATAAAATTTAAAAGGCAAGAAACATCTATAATAAAACACCTTTTTCAAGAAATCTTTACTTAATTTTTGGGGTGGTTGTTGCTCTCCCTATATATACAGCAATCTCTTTTTGCTTAAAAAAAAATCAGACAAATCCACAAATTCAATCATTTAAGAAATACAACTTCATGAAATGTGAATTTTTGCATCCTTTATTCTTGGACAAAATGCAGCATTTCTGAATAAATGCAATCCTTTCCTTTTCATCAGCCAGCAAACTCTGCTCTCTAAGGAAAATATATAACAATCAGAAAAATGATCATAGAATTTAAATTTGAAATCTGTGCTCACCTGCTGCAAGCATATGCATCCCTGGGTTGCCACATAAATGCATTTGCAGATATGATGGGTTGCCTACTTTAGCAACATAGTGTACTGCCTTGCAAATACTTTTCAGAAAGGTGCAGATAATCAGAAAGAACCCTTATTTTCTGGAGGAGGGGGCATTTTTAGCAACAAAAACCTCAATCACAAAATTCTTCACATATATAAATTCATAGTTGATATGGAATTTAGCCAATTATAGTTAATATCAGACACATCGGTACAAAACAAAAATGATTTGTTTAATAAATCTTTGTGAAACATGAATCTACCAACCTTTCATAGTATTCTGAGCCTTCCTCCAAACCAGGCAATACACCTATAAGAAATCCATTTAAACCAGGCCTTAACTTTTCACCAAGAGGCACAAAATGTGTTTCATAAATACTTAAAAGTGATGGTTTAACATTCATTGCAGCATTTGCAAATAGTGGAAAAAGGCCTGCACTGTAGATGAATAATTCTTGGCTTAAACGTACAGGTCCAATACATTTAAATATAATATCATACGTCTCCAAAGCCTTCAAGTGAACACCACTTGGAAGAGCTGGATGCATGCACTGGGCAAGTCTTTTGCTTACAGTTATTCGTCTTGGAATTATAGAATACTTCACATTGCTCAAAAGAACCTGAAAAACAAGAATGACATGAAATTTCACTGAAATATTAATATAACAATTAAAAAATAATGCAAATTTTGTATATTTTTTGGTGGATATGTTTTCTAAGCTTAGCGGGCAGAAGCTGTTTTGATTCATTGTTAGTACTGATGACATTTAACATTAAATAAGGGGTACCACTAAATTTATCTGAGATTTTATAATATATAGAAGTTTAATACTAGTGATTTTTTTTTACTATTTTATGTTCAAATAATTAAACATAAATAATGGAAATTTAACCACTGAAAAATTCATGAAGAAACAAATACCTTAAACTATAAAATTTTATTTTGAATTTAGACAATTAATCCTTCGCACTCGAGCGGGCGATTTAGAGTGTCAACTCGAGCAGTGCTGCTGTAGCACCCAAGCGATTTGAAGTCTTAAATCTAGTGACGCTGCTACAACATTATGGTCTTTTGTAACTCGACCCCTTTATTTACGATGTGCAATATTTTTCTTGGAAGTACTTTCATGGACTAGGCTCTGCTGACATTGTAGCTAAATCTTAGCTTAGTTTAGTTAGTCTCAGCATAGCATTTGCTTGAAACAGTCTTGGTAGTAAATATAGTACTAAAAAGTGTTTAAGCCCTAAAAATATGGAGGACGTTCAGATCGGCTCGAGTTTGGACAATTCAATTTTGCCCCGTTGGATGATGAACGTACGACAGATTATGCAGCGAAACAAACAAATTCAGTGGAGAAGACAGTGATGCAGTAAGAGGTGTGAGACGACGGAAAATTAAAATTATAGAGAGTGACAGTGAAGTTGAGAGTGATATTGAAAGAGAAGTTGAAAGTGAAACCGTGGAAGGTGCAAGAAGTTCAATATGGGTACTTCGCAGAGACTACGATAAAGTGCCGCCAAGTGTACAATTCATACCAGGCCAAAACCCCACAGTTGCTTTCTAACATAACTACTTAGCATTCTAACATAAAACAACCAATAGATTTTTTTAAACTGTTTTTCACTAATGACCTTGTGAAAAAATTATTTGTGAAACCAATATATATGCAAAAAGAAAATCAAAACAGAAGACACTATCTGCAGATTCAATTTGGCAAAGCTGGTGTGATGTGACCAACGAAGTACAATTGCTCTCAAAGTACTTGTAAAGTGTTTGCCAAATTTGGGAGAAATCGTCTTGAGTTGCTGGTTCACGCAAACAAAAAAGGCTTTGAGTGCAAAAGGTTAATCATTTTCATTCAAACAGCACAATGATTTGCTGCCAGTGAAGCTACAGAAATAGAATATAAGTTACATCACTTTTAAAAAATAACTACAAATTCTCTTTAATGTTAATGAATCTGCAATTTTAGAAATAAAAACTTTATTCAACATTACGAGTTCTAAGCAACCTTTGGAAAATCTCTGTAGCATGACGTATTTATAAACAGCAATACAATTATGTTCACTTTATAAAAATTAATATGAAAAATCTTAGGTACATTATAAAGGTATTAATATTACAGATCCAGTGTTAGCACTTTTTATCTGGAAACATTCCTTGTAATGCTTCACAAGCAGAAAAGGTATTTATGTTGGTCATTGGAATTCCATGAGATACAAAGTTAAGACCTAAGTTAAAATGGTTATACTTCAATCTATACTGCTATAGTATAATGGGAAGGCTGTGTCTGTCACAATTTATTGCTGATATAATAGTCATAGCATTTGAAACTCCCGCCCCCAGGAATAACCATATATGATTGACCCATATGAACCTCTCTCTTAATTCTTCTTAGATTTAGGTGTTGGTTCAGCAACAGCCAAAAACTGTTGTTGCTAATGAAACACTGCACCAGGCCTCTAGGTCTCAACTATCTGCCTGTAGTCAAATCGCTTGTGCTGATTCATCTCTCCATTACTAAGAAACATTTATTGATATTAATGAGCATAATTCATAGTACCATATGCGACTTTTATAGCATATTGTACATTATTCTCCCTTTGAAAGTAAAAAACAGATTGTGTTCCTATGCAAAAATAACAAATTCTGTATACATTATTAACACTTTATTCATATATCACTACAATCTCAAATGTGATTTATATAAATGCTGAATATCATTTTTATTCCCTTTTGCAAATTATTGTATTTCAAAGAAGAAACATACCCAAGCAGAAAAGTTTTGTTATTCATCTCTTTAACCCGTTCAGTACAGGTGTGTCATATGTGCATTAGCAGAGAACATTACCTCATGACCGGGTGTGTCATATTTGAATCGCCATTTAATTCACTCTACCGGCCGAGCATACCACATTTGACTTTTTAGAAAGAATGTTTAATTAATATTTTTTGTTGCCGCTAGATGTAGCTGTATGCCTGTTATGGGGAAATATATCGAAAGTTAAGTATGTTAACCTTCCTTCCTAGGCAATGATTTTTATTTTTGGTATTTTGTTTCGAAATGAGAGCGAGATTCGTGGGTGGGTGTTGAACAATGTAATGTCTCTTTAACTGCATCATTTGATATAAACAAATGCATGCGCTCTTGCTTCTTTGAGGTACTTTTTATTTTTATTTTTTGCGATATAGTGGGATAGACGTTCTATCATTACAGATTTTTTTTATTACTCTTAGATTTTTCGTGCTTTGAGATGAATATTTTTAATCGTCAGCGAAACGTATCTTTTTTTAATGGCAAATGAAAGCAGTATATAAGCATAGAATATACCCAATCGCTAATTTGTTAGTGTTGAGTAATGTAATGGCTCTAACTGCATCATTTTATATAAACAAATAAACATGTTCTCGATGCTCTGGAATACTTTTAATTTAATTTATTAATTTTTCTTATTTTTATTTTATTTTTTTTATCAGTTATAGTGGAGTAGATGTTCTATTATTAGAGACTTTTTTTATTACTCTTTGAGTTTTCCGGCATTGAGACGAATATTTTGTATCGCTTAGCGAAAGGTTTTTCTTTTTTTCCCTTTAAATGGGAAAACGAAAGCAATATCTGACTGTAAAACATATACAAATGCTAAATGAGTCAAAATTCCTGAGTAAAACAGCAGCAAATATTATATTCCTGTGACTAATGCAACGTTGGACTTTGCGTACACCCATGTTTCAAAGAATATCATACACTGTCTCATTTTGAAACATTGCTTACTTTTCGTTGTTTTCTCGTGAATTTTTATGAAAGACAGTTTTAATATTTTTTAATTTTAATTGTGTGTTGTGTTAAATAAAATCTGCGATTGTTTGGCTATTTTTCCATATATATTTATTTGTGGGATAAGGGGAAAATTATATTATTCTAGAACAAGTATTTTACAAAATTTTTAAGGAAAATATAATAATAAAGGCTTAAAATTAGTTTTGATGACTACCTGAATGTTCTTCTCATAATGTAGCCAAAATTGGAAAAAATGGACGAAAAATTTCATTTATACGAATTTTTTTCCAAAGTTAGGCTTAGCAGCATAAATTGCCCATCCACACAGGATGATGCATCCGATTAATGCACCATCAAAAGAGAATGCTTCCGTAACAGAGGTTGCCGTCGCGAATGGGTTAAAGACTTGGTTGATAGAAAAAAAAAAAAAAAAAAAAAAGTTAAAGCAAAATATGCTATAGTAAAAATTTAGAAAACATAGTTTAGTTAAACAGTTTTGCACTGGTAAAATTTGGAAAGAAAATGTTCTCTTACATGTTTTTTTTTTTTTTTTTTTTTTCCAAAACAGATATCCATCTGCGGTGGTAAAAGCATTAAATAATAGTATTCAGCCCTGGTTCAAATCCTGGCAAATAAGTTGGCTGCATAAGAATTTTCATGTTTTTTGTTATGTGTTACATAAATATGAGATAAAAAAGAGTCAACCACTAAGATTCACCTCCCCTTTGGACTGATAGCATTCATATTCTTTTCTGTAACCTAAGCCAAAATTCCTCAAAACAGGAAATTAGACCATTAGCAATAAAAATAAAGCTGGTAGATTTACTCTAAATTTAATTCCTAATGTAGCATTAGCACACAGGCTGAGAAAAGTTTTTATCTCATACAACAGATCAATTTCCATCAATCACATATAACCAATAATAACTAATCAGCAAATACTTCCAAAAAGTTGTTCCGCAATGAAAAATTTAACTACCATATTAAACAGCATACAGATTTCTATTTTTAGGCAGCTTAGTAACCATAAGCATTTAGAAAGAATTCTTGCCAAGAACCCTTCACAAAACCATTGATTAAATTAATTTCATTTATTATATTTGCATCAAAAGATAATAAGTGGTAATTTTGTTTCTATGGAAATTTTAGTATAATTTTATGAAAGTTGAATATTTCAATTTGCAAGGGGCTCACCTTATTAAGCTTTGCTAGAGCACATATGAGATCTGCCCATTCACTTGTATACTCAAAACTTTTTAACGCTTTATCAACGGCTGATATATATGAACGATATCGAGCATCTCCAAGAAGTTCATATTCATCCAGTGCAATAGAACCCATTTTGACAAATTAATACCTGTAAATTAAAAATCATCCTTAAATTACCATACCACCATAATAAAACATACTAAAAAGACATAAAATATATAATTTTCTTACAGCTTTAAGAGAAAAAAAAAAGATTACCTCATACAATCTCAACTATGACAGCTTTTATCTTGTGCCTTCACTTTCACAAAATAAAAGAACTGATGAAAAACAGAAAGAAATATACCATAAAAACAGCAAAACTATTTAAAAGCTAATAGTTTCAAGAAATAATTCAAAGCTTAATTCATAACACATGTACATTACTAATACATATAACAAACTGTATACTTAGCATTGCCAATATATGATAAATAATGAATATTTGATCTTTCAGTAGCATAAAATATCACCATTATTAACATGTTTTAATATTCCTGAGCTGATGCATACTAGTATCATCCATGAACCTTCAGGCTCCTTTCGAAGGGCTCCTGGACTGAAGAGTCCTATCCCTATCGATGCTGAGTCTCTTTTCGAACGTTGAATCCATAAGTGCGTTCCGGCAGAGTGAATGCATACTAGTACGGGCCTTCCAAACATGATTTGGTCTCAACATCTTAGTGACATAAATTATGCTCATCATGTAGAAATAATGCATTAGACATTCTTCGGGTTTCAGATATCATATTAGCATACAGTCTATTATTTCACTGATGTATGGTTTTAATATCTTCTTTTCATAATTTGATAACAAATAAACAACACAAACTTTAGAAGTTCATTGCTAAACTCCAGGACATCAGCAATTGTGTTATGTGGTCAATTTCTGCCATACAAAAGGGTTAGCCATTTGGATGCATTCATGGTTTCTATATAGTACATGATGCAAATGCAATCCAGTTTTCCCTTAAAAAGTCTCTGACTAGGCTACAGTCTCCAGTGCTTTGCCATATAATTAATCAATACGATAAATTTACAGTATCTTAACTCACTAAATAGAAGAGTAGGATACTAGCATACATATATAAATTAATAGTAGTTAAACACAAAGCCTGATGTACTGTAGTAAAATGAAACTAATCGTAGGGGGGAAAAGTTATTTTCCCTTAAAAATATGATTTTTCCCTTAGAAATATGACAAGCATATCTAATAGGGTAGAATGCTGTAATGACAGTTCTCTAAGTTAGTCACATGTGTCTTCATAGACATCATTGAATGCATTATTTTTATTTCATTATGTACAAATTTGTGAGAATAATTACAAAAGGGTTGATTAATAAAATAGTTTCAAACTATTAGTATGCTTTTAAAACTGTACATACAGTAAAATACAGTCTAACTGCTCAATCTGTGAAAAACAAATTTAAAAAAATTACATGTAGTAATGAAAACTAATTGATAAATAATGGTACATAAAGATCAGTCAAAATGGGATTTTTTTTATTATACTCTAAGTAATTATTTCCATCAATTTTCAACATGTTCATAATTAAATAACTAGAAATACTTTACTAGAGACAATTAAGAAAAATAACTTTCCATGATCATCATTTCTAAGTACTTGTGATCCTGATAACACAATTAATTGTATATGAAGTATAAATTTTTAGCTTACTTTCAAACAGCAAACAGAAAAACTGAGAAAAATAATGTAATACTATTAGATGCTAAAATGCAATATGCTATTGCCTGTCAAGGTTCGTCTTCCATTAACCTCTTAATACGCTCAACTCAGTTAACTCGGATGCACTAAATTAAATTATTCCCATATACTCGAAGTTAATAAGTGAAGATTTTCTTCAGTTATGAATGCAGGTATATGTATAAATGAATAGGGCTACAGAATTTTACCACAGTACAGATATAGTCCCACCACACTAACTGTGCAGCTCCACCCCAATTTTGAGGGATCTCCAGAGAGGGCAGTCCGAGGGTCTTCCACCCCTCGTCCCCTACCACAAACCACTCAAGAGGACTTTCAGATCACTATGTATTTTGAGTTCACCCTTGCTGTACAAACACCATACATGTACAAAGATCTATGCCTTGTCTGGGATTCAGTATTGGGTGCATTGGTATGGCAGTCAGCAGCACTAACCACTATACTGCCTGGGCATGAATACAATAGAATATATCTGACATGAATACAATAGAATATATCTGCTATAATTTTGAGTTAAAATAAAAAAAGAGACTAAAAAATTTTGAGTTAAAACGCAGACTAATGAAAAAAAAAAAAAAAAAAAAAAAAAAAAAAAAAAAGGCAGAAAAAAGGCTAATTCCAAATTTCTATTAATGCCTTAAAGGGTTAAACCTAGCAAAACAAGCAACTTTTTATTTAGTTTGCCTCTTAATCTGGTGCTTAACAGATGCAAAATAATCAATTTATATCTAACAGAATATATGAAACATCTGCTCTAATTAATCTCACTTTAACCAGCCATATTTTCATCGATATTCTTTTCTATGAATGCAAGTTTCATTGCCAACTCAGGGAAAATATACAATTGAATAGCATAGACAAAATAATAGATACTTCATCGAAAAAGTAATGACTGCTAATCAAAATTTTTGAAATCCTTTGAACTTACACATCGCTTGGTGATTATTAATTATGCTTTAAATACATTCTAATAGATTTTGTGAAATTTTAATATATTTTAATTTTAATTATTTAAATATATTTGAACATATATTTATGAAATAATTAAATTGTAATTTAATTATTTAAATGTATTTAAACAATATAATTAAGAAGTAATTAAATTGTAATTTTAATTATTTTTTTGTTTTAAATTTGATTTTCATGTTGTATATTCTATACATCTTAGGCAATGTTCTCAATGATTAGATGGCTAAATGACCAAAAGGTTTTGGCCACTTCAAACTAATGCATTAAAGTGCAAGTGCTCAGCCATTTGGAACACAGTTTTCGGCAATGATGGCTGTTGATCAAATATAGCCTTAGAACATTCTATGGACAGTTAAGGCACATTTAAGTGATGAACACATATGAATGTTATGTTTTGGATAATTTGTATATGGTACAGAATTACACTATATAACATATTAATATGGTACAGAACAGCAACTATGCTCTTACACAGCTACATGGTGTACATTCCCTAGATTTTATTTTTGACCCACTTTTTTTAAAGAAGCTCATATGTCAGTAAGACTTAACATTATGAGTGCACATTACATTCAGCTCCTAGCAAAACACATGGTTCCTGCTTTGTAAGGATGAGGACACTTGGAGTCAGTCTTCTTTACCAAAGACTAAGTAATACATCAAACTCATTAATGAGCTAAGCAGTTAATAAAAGAAGATTATCTTCTTTTGAGTCTTCCTGGATGCTTGATCTTCCTGTTTTTCTATATTGAGTTCCTATGATGATTGTTGAAAGATGATGTCTATCACGAAATCATACAGTCTCTATCTCAGACAAAGGCAAGCATATAACACAGTATGCCATTGATATCCCCCCAGTTTACTTCATATGATCATTGATTTCCCTATATTTTAGATTTTTAAAATGTATCTGACTTTGGTTGCTTGCATACTGAGCACCTGCTGAATCTGCAACATGCAATTTTGCTTTCTGGTTTAGATGTATGTTCTTGAAAAGCCACATATTTACTCGGAGTGTAAAAATTTGCACAGCACATTTTTTCCCTAAAATCTCTTCTCCTCAGACTATACAGTAGACTTACTCAATTTTAGCAACACTTTGAGTCAGCTTCAGAAGCTATGTGTTAGGTCACTTTAATCTGATCACCAAGTATAAAGTATACACAAAATGGTAATATCAAAACCACCTATTTCTCAAGTTAGAAGATGATTTTTTTAAATCTGCAAAATTTGTTTAAAGATTCTTAAGTACTAGGGACAAATTCTGAGTTAATTTACAATCTATATAACTGCCATTATCTCTGAAAAAGTGTGTTAAAAATAGGAAAAGCATTATATGATATATAGTTAGATAAAATTAATTTAGAAAAACAGGAATTACATTAACTTCTGACATATTTTTCCCTAATTATAGACGTCTTTTAAGCATCTTATTTTCATATGTTCAAGTATTACAACTGCAAGTCATTCCAAGGTGGTCAAAGTCATTAATGCATTTCAAAAAAAATTTTAAACATGTCCTGTATCTTAATAGGGCCAGCTCCAGTGTAGCCTGTGCTGCAGCACATGGTGCTAAACATGTACAAGGCACCAACTTTTAACCATAAACTTGAAAATTCACACACTTTATATAACTGCAGAATGGAAAGCTAACTGAAAACGCAATGAGTGGTAAACACTGGCTGGAAATGAAGAAATTCAACCAATCAGAAAATGCTGTTGTGCTAAGGAATATTGGCATCATGTTCTTTCCATCAAATGCATTTTTATGCAAAACTACCTTGAAGAGTAATATGAATTCGAATGATTTCTTATTTCTTATTTTTTGCACACTTCATCCTCTACAGTCTAACAAGTGACATGAAGAACAACGTGCCACCTACCATTTTTAATGCCATGTAATTTTTTATTTTTACTGCATTTTAAATATATATTATACTGGAAAAAATACTTGAGTATTTTAACCCTGTTGAAGGTTAAGCATATGTAACAAAATACATTACATACATGGGGAAAGATGCCACAATACTTTCACATAGGGCACCTCTTTCAAAAATCTGGTACTGATTATAATACTGAATAGAGATATCTTTTACAATTCTCTGCAATACCAAATTTGTGTTCTATTGTCAAGGATTCATATGAGCGATTTCTAATAAATAATTGTAATCCTTCTCTTCCTTCTAAATTAATCTAATACCAAATATACATCCATACCAAGACACAGAGATTAATTTTAATAATATCTAACTTCTCATTCTTTGGCAAGTAGCAATTAATATTTCAATTTGATCACTTACATGATCCTCAAATTTCTTCAGAACAGATATGTAGATGAACAAGTTACGAAAATGGAACAACGTAATAGATGAGGTGCAATAGGTACAGTGGTTAAAGGAGACAGCTATCATGCAGATGGAGCAAAATTTAAACCCAGAGGAAACACTACGGTATTTTTTATTGTTTTATCTATGTTAGATAGTGGCACACAAAATGTGTATATCGGAAAGCAGCCATGTGTGATTTATGATAGACATAAAACAGTGATAAGACCACCAAGTACCATTCTCTGGCATGCTCTTGATCAAAACTGAAATGACTAATTAGCAGCTGCAAATGCTCAGCTATACCTGTTAACCTATATTGCATTACAGTTCAGATACAAAAACTGTGATACTACTCCTCTTCCAGTGGTGGACTAGCCAAAGAAATCAGCCCCATATAATGTCATTATACATATAAGTTATCATTATCATGTCATCATCATAAAAAATAATTTTATAAAATAAAAAATACCTTTGCAGAAAATAAACACTTTATTCATATATATAGTATAAATATATATATATATATATAATTTATTTACTAAAGAATATTGATTATATTAGCTCCGAAGATTAATTTTATAACTAATTATATAAATAAAACAGCGGTTGATTCATAATTAGCCACTTAAATATGTTTTAATTCCAGGTGCCAGGGCAAATATTTCCTCCATTATATGTTCAATTTTTGCTTTAGCCAAAATATCCTTCTCTGTGTTCATCAACAGCAATAATTCCAAATTAGCTTGCTGCATAGTACTCCTTGATCTACTTTTTACAATTTTTAATTTTGATAAAGCTCTTTTGCATTCAACTTGCATTATAGATGGGATGAGTACAAACTTATAAGCAAAAGAGACACTGGCGTATGCATTACTAATATAAATTATATTTCAAGAGTATGTCATATACAGACAAGACGCAATTTTTTCAAACATTGCATATAGCTTTGGATGAATGCTCATTAATAGATAGAACACTCTCTCCTTCTGACTCGGTATCAGATTCAATTATGATTTTCAACTGAATTGTTTAGTATTTCCCATTTAATTACTAGGTTCTGATATTCATCCTTAAGATTATCAATTTTGACACCTGCATAGTGCCCTAATAATATAGATGAATAGTCAAAAGTGTTTGGTGACAATGGCACTGAAACCTTTTTGGGATCGAGAAGCGATATGTCTTCATACAACTTTTTATGCCCTTTAAACCTATGTTCCATCGATGAAACTGTGTTAACCATTATAAAATTAAAGATGGTAACTTTGAATTGCTTGATAGGGCAACTGAAATTACAGTCGGACGATTCTTTATCATCTATTTGTTTCAGGTTTCGGCATCTTCTAGCAGGTATTTGTTTTTCTATAATTATATCACAACCCAGGCTTTCTAGTTTATTATTGTAATCCATTGCAAACTATTTTGATGCATCAAATATTAAATCGAAGTTTCTACAAATGGCTTTTAAAGAGCTTGTAGCCTGTCTAATCATATTATATGTCAGGATGTAATCTAATCCTTTAGTCTGCAAATATTTGGTTACTAGCTCAGTATATTGAAATATTTTCAAATATATGTGAGCAGACAAAAATTTTCTAAAAGTTGATATTTTATCTAGAATAGATTTTGCCATCTGTTGTATCTATGCATTTTGCATATCATTCAAAGATATACTTTTTGAGTGACAGTATTAATTCTACACACGTTCTTCTCACACAAAGGGCTGTCTCACTGAGTCATCTGTGTCGATTTGATCCTTTGAGTTTCTTGTTTGGTACCTACTTCATTAAGTACCTACTTCAGTGCATATCCTAATTCTCTAGAAAAGTTTACCTCAAGAACAACTGCCTATTTACTATGTACCTATAACAGTCCTTTTTAAAGACTGGCAAAAATAAAGGCACAATACTTACTTTTAATAACTGGTTAGAGAATCCCAACCCTCAACATGAGCTATAAATATACAAAAAGTTATGGAACGATTTGTTTGCAGAGAACATTGGCTAGCCTGTCCAAAGGTAATGAGATTGAAATACTTATAAGTTAATAGGAAATGGATAATTTTTTTTTTTTTTTTTTTTCTTTTCAAAAATCAGTATTTCTGATGTTCTCTCTGGCCAGGAAAACCTAGAACTATGATTTACTTTAAAATAAAACACAATCCAATTTTAAATTATAACAAAAATTCCCACTCTTTCTCACTTCATCATTACAACTTTGTCAGTGTACAAAGTCTTTAATCCGGACTCATCGGGACTTCGCCGATTCTGGATTAGGGGTTTTTCCGGATTTTAGGTCATCAATTTAAATCTGGTAAGATGGCATGAAGAAATTATAAAACTAAAAATATGAAACCGTAATTTATGAAATAAACAGCAATTATGATCTAAAGGGCATCAAAATTTACAAAAAAAAAAAAAAAAAAAGCTTAATATTTATTTGTTTACTTTATTAAACATTTCTTTTAATGTAAGTTGTTTAAGTTGCTTCGTTTTTTGTGCTACTTTCTCTTTAATTCTATAAACAGACATAATTTCTTGTTCAGTTCCACTGTTCAAGTCCTGTAATTGCTGTGTCAAGAATACCGATTAACTTGTCAATAAAAATTTTTTCATTTTCAATAACCTCTCTGTCACTTTCTTCACTATCGGAAGCGGTACATCGAAACATGCTTTCACTTTGTAGATCCTTTGGCAGCTCCAGAATCGGAAACTTTTTTTGACATAATCGAAAGTTCAAGCTCACTTTTTATAAAATTGCTCTAACAGTCTGCAAAAAATAATAAGCCGGATCCAATTAGAAGATTAAGGAACAACACAATCTGCAACATTAACTGAAATAGATAATTTTAGCCTAGCTTATACCATCCATTATACATTAAACGTGCATGCGTAAACGTATTATGCGCATGCATAAATGCACTATGCATTTACGCATGCACAGAAAGTTTGTAGCTTTGAGGTCTGGATTATTATACGTCCGGATTAAAGACTTTGTACTCTATTTCTGATGTTCTCTCTGGCCAGGAAAACCTAGAACTATGATTACTTTAAAATAAAACACAATCCAATTTTAAATTATGACAAAAATTTGCACTCTTTCTCACTTCATCATTACAACTTTACCAGTATAGGGCTTGTAATGATTTAGAACAAAATTTTTGCATTCTTACGCATATTTGAATTTCCAGAAATTGAAGAATATAACAAAATAAATACTACAAATTCTATACTACAATTCAAACATTAAATTATGCTCTTTGTACAAACAGTAAAAACTTTTAAAAAAATCTACTCAATAACACATAAATTTAACCACTGTAGATAATGAATATTATTATTATTTACGGTTGATCTTTACAATATGGTAACTGGTAGTTTGGCGACATTTTGGAGGCGATAAAGGTTACTACCTGGCACTTTGGTAATAATGTGAGCAGTACTCAGTTCCGATTACGCATTATTTTGTGTGAGGGAAATGAGAGATCATGGGATATGTCATGTGATATTAATGGACGAATTACGGTTCTTTAATCGGAAAAGGGGGGAAATCGGGAAAAAAAATCTGGAAAATTTTGTATTTGGCTTTATTCTGTGTTGTGTGAAACAGTGTTCGTGAATTTTTGGATCCCATGGCCGTAACTAAAGTGAATTCAAAATGGGTATTTATGTATATGTATTAATTTAATGTATGTGCTCATTTATATTTTAAGTAGTGTTTTTTGAATTTAATTATATTTTAATTAAATGATAGTTATTTTGTGAATTTTATGTTTGTAGGAATTTGGTATACGTTTTAGTTGAAGTAAACGTGCATGGAAATAATTTAAATATCTGACAATAAGTATTTGTAATGGTTGCGGTATGAATTCGTTCGTTGGTGACGTGTATAATGTAATAGATGATTTAGAGGTAAAAGTTTTTGGATATTTTATTTATTTATATGTGGAAATGTTCATTACTTTTTCGCGATCAGGTAGTTTCATATATGTTCTTTTTACCGGGTTTAAAGATTGAGAAAATTGTCATGTATTTTCGTGAAATTTTTCGAATTTATGAGAAAAAAAGCAGTGTACACGGATATAGTGAAGGGTGTGCGCAATGCCATTTTTGTGCAATTCTGGGATGTTTTTTTAAGTAAAAATAAGTCGGTGTGTACATGGTTTAGTGATATTTTAATTAAATGATAGTTATTTTGTGAATTTTATGTTTGTAGGAATTTGGTATATGTTTAAGTTGAAGCAAACGTGCATGGAAATAATTTAAATATTTGATACTAAGTATTTGTAATGCTTGCGGTATGAATTCGTTGGTGACGTGTATAATGTAATAGATGATTTAGAGGTAAAAGTTTTTGGATATTTTATTTATTTTATATGTGGAAATGTTCATATTTGGAAAGGGTAAATACTTTTCCACGATCAGGTAATTTCATATATGTTCTTTTTACCGGGTTTAAAGATGAGAAAATTGTCATGTATTTTCGTGAAATTTTCTAATTTATGAGAAAAAGCAGTGTACATGGATATAGTGAAGAGTGTGCGCAATGCCATTTTTGTGCAATTCTGGGATGTTTTTTAAGTAAAAAAATAAGTCGGCGTGTACATGGTTTTATGTGTATGTGTTATTTTGAAAAACGCGTAAGGAGTATGGTATTGTGCACTTTTTCCCAATTTTGCAGTGAATATTTGTTAGATAAAATTTCTAGCATAAGTGTAATTTGGCTAGTAGATTGTTGGAAGAAGTGTTCAGTAGATAAAAAGAAAAGAAACATGTCTTTACTTCGTGAAGACAAAATGGCGGTGGGAAAAAAAAATAGAGGGTTGCTGTAGGAGAGTTGGTCGCCAAATTTTCGCCAAAAAAACGCCAAGTTACCATAATGTAAAGATCAACCTTATTTACAGACAAAACAGAAAAAATTTTAATTTAAATTGAGTAGATTAAGTCACAGTTTCATTTCAAACTTAATATTTCTAAGTTAGTACTATCTCAGTATTACATAAACACAAGCACTTACTGTATTGTATGCTTAGCATCTGAATTCCATTTTCATAGAAAGCTGTTTCTGGATTTTATAACCAATTTTGATATCCACCATTAGAGCAACATCTGATAATTAAAATGTTGTCTTAAAATTTAGTGCTTCTAGAAACTTTGTAGACAATGGCTGTATAACAAATCAGGATAATGATTGACAAGGTCTCCAATCATCCATCATTAATAATGCCTGCTGCAGACAACTGATTAAAAAGTTAAAAGAAATTTCAAGAAATGTTTTGTATAAAATTTTAACATAAAGTTTAAATTATTGGAAGTTCTGCTGACACTGAGTACCAAAAATAATTATCAAATCAAGCACCAAACTTCTATGGCAATGTAATTTAAAAACTGGTTGCACGATACGATAGGTGCCTCCATGAAGGTAGAAATTACGTTAAAAAGTAAATTAAGGGTGTCAAGCTTTGTTGTAAAAATAAAACCACTAAAAAATTTGTACATTGTTTATGTAATATAAAAATAACACTTACTTAAAACATATGGCTTATGCATGTTATAAAAACTTATAACATTAAAATTTGTTTAAAATTAACAAATGTGGAATTACTAATAGCAGGAATTTGCTATCCCTCCCAATCCTAATTTTTTAGTCTGTTTTGAATACTATAATTAAATAAATTGCTTTAAATAGCAAAATCAGAATTCTTAATTACATTTGAACCAAATAATTCTGAATTTTTAGATATTATGATCATTTTTTAATCATTTAGAAATTTAAATACCATGATTATTTTTAAATCATTTAGAAATTTAGATACTATGATGATTTAAAATACAAAACTGAAATTTTATTTTTAATTACTAATGTTTAAAAGGACCCGTTTGATTAAGAATACACTATATGTTACATAGAAATGCTTTCTTTTTGGAACTTAATTCATATCAGACTGAATAGCAACAAAGGAAATACTTTTCATCATTTTAAATACACAAATATATTTAAATCAGAAAGAAATTCATAAAAACATTATACTGAATTTATTTAGAAAATGTGTTTTTATATATAAAAATATATTTATAAATAATTATGAATAAACATAACTGAACAAATATAGGTCAAAATTTAGTACGAAGAAAGATATGACTTGATTTTGCTGTCTAATTTTAAGACATTTTCCTAATGTAATCGAACTGGAGTTAAAAGTTCTCGCACCCCCATGCCCATGCAATGCAAGAGCAAAATACTGTAACTTTAACTACCATGTTATAGTTAGTAACTTTATATAATGTAGGGCTTTTGTACAGTATGCATGCGATAAATTTTATCCTCAAAATAAGGAATGTATCAGTATGAGATACTCCTCTATTGCTGAAATAAACCTTTAAGACTACATATTAGAACTTCAAAATGTAAGCAATTCGAAATTCTATAAAGCAGTGTTTGCATAGATCAGACATATAAACATCTGAAGAGAAATTCTAATTCTGCACAAAAACATTGCTTTAGTGAAATTGCCTAACATAATTTAGAAATAAGGATAAATAAAAAGCAAAGGATAAATAAATAAGGATAAATAAAAGCGTAAGCAAAATTTCAAATCCTTATCTTAAAAAAAAAAAAAAAAAATACAGGCATCAGCTTTTACAAAGCTACTACAAAAAGAGTTATTTAGAACTTCAGTAAAATGTACTTTAGTTTTTAAAGGACAATACACTCTAAAAAAAAATTCTACAACCACTACTATATTAAAATTTCATTACATGATAACAATATAGAACAGTATAATCAATATAACATCACACACACACACAAAAGTGCTACTAGTACTAACACAGTTTCAATAAAAACAAGCACAATCAAAGTACAATTTGTATGGTACCACTGTACAAATAGCCATATATAACAACTAATATGTTAAATGTCATAAAAATCAATTGCTTTAATGAATTAAAAAATATACTGCACTCTACAGTTTTTGCAATCCAATTATCAAAATAGTCATATAAAACTGATATTGCATTTAATCTAAATTAAATGGCTAATTCATGAGACAAAAATAGAAATAAGTCCTTCTTTAATGACTTAAAAGCTCTTCTATAAGATATTTAACTTTTACGTGAAAATCTATTTCACATTCTGTTCGAAAGAATATGAACATGAAATTCAGTCAAGGGAATAGTATAAAAACGATTCGAAATTCTGTCAAAGAAATAGGAGAAAAGCGATTCTAACCCATCAAAATAATTTAGAAAACAGTTCACAAAAATACTTTTGTTACAACTTAGGCACCTGTTGAAAGTCAGCACGTATATCTTATTGACATTAAGTTCGCGATGATTTTGCAAAAACGAAACTATAAACAAAAGGAATGACTTTGGGATAGCCTACAATAAATTTTAATATACTGTTATTCTTGTTTATAAACGTGCAGTTTTGTATAGAACTCTTAGTCTATCCCCTAAAAAAATTATGCACACTAATGTATTTTGTAATCCAACGTATTTATTATTTTTCAGTGGCGAAAGCAACATATGAATGGGAAGAATCCCACTTTTTCCCCCTAAAGAACATAATGAAAGAAAAATATTATCACTCAATTCGTAACATATGAAACAACTGTGTGTTATGTTTAGTGTGTCATATGGTTAAATGAAACGTACATTACTCCATTTTACAACACAAGACACAGCAAGTGCTTTCTGTCGACTGCTCCTGTTTACATCACATGACAGACAGACGGACAAAGTAGACAGATTCTATATTGCACCCGCTAAGTCTTTATGCACGCAGGGCGAAAAATCAACCTTAGGTGCGAAGAAAAAGCAAATAGGGATAGTCTTGTCGCCATCAAGGCTGTTCTCCGGAGAATGTCCTCAAATAGATAGAGGTCAGAAGAGAAAGATAATTTCAAAAATAATTCCGTACATTTAACACGAAATTTTTAAAGCCAACTAAAAAGAATTAAGGCCCAAGCTGTACAAAATAATATATATATATTTATGGGCCTAAGTAAGATAGAGAAAATGAAAGAGAAGCGTAAAGTAATCTAACCATGAATGTTTTCTACGTCTCATACGATGGAGAAGTACATGTGACCTATCGCCTTAACTTGAAGGTCCTAATGTAGGGGTTCCCAACCCTATTCCTGCGGGCATATTGGCGCCCGCCGATCATTTAACGTGTGCCAGCCGCTGTGCGATCACAATAAAACTATTTTAGTTTTCAATAAAATTCTATGCGAAAGTTTTCTCATTTTTAATGAAATAGAAATTCCGTCCAACACAGATACCAGCACAAAGCATAATACGACTGATCTCTCTTTTCATGTTCATGTATCTATACCCAACTATAAATTCAGTTTGAAAAAGTAAATGGTTCTCACCGTCCAACAGATATACTAGTATGTGCTCTTACGGATAAAAAAAGATTGGGAACCCCTGCCTACTTGATTGTTGTGAATGTATAATATGTTGGCTGAGGTGTTGAAAATTACTAGCCTAATCTAATTCAAAAAGGGTTAAAAAATGGTAGGGGTACTTCGTTCCAGTAATTGAGCACTCTCCTGAAATTTTGTTTCTCATCAGAGGGGAAAATATAGCTCCAAGGCTGTTCTTCGAACAATATCCCTAAAAAAAACCCTCTGATTTGAAAGTGCCTGCAAAGCTAAAGGGGAAAAAAGAAAGAGAGAGATAAAGAGATTCATACACAGTTGCGTTCAAAGTAAGTAGCAATAAGTTAGAATGCAGAGTTGAAGCTTCAGATAAAAGTGCTAAATATTTGGAGTAAATCACCAACATTACGAAGTAATCATGTAGTCCTAAATAATGGAAACGTTATAGCAGGCATGGGCAACAGCGGGCTCGCGAAGTTGTCGAAACCGGCCCGCTATGCATATGCAGAAAGTGTAGACTATTTTAATAATTTTGAAATTGTTACCCATAAAAATATTTAAACTGAGATCAGCACCATTTTAAGAGTTTTTTATCACATTTTAATCACCGCTTAGTAATTACAGTAGTAGTAATTATAGTAGTAGTAGTTACGCTTAGTAATTATAGTAGTAGTAGTTAGTTACAAGTAATTGATAGTATTGTATTTCACCAAAACCAATTCGATGAAAACAAAAATGAAGAAGATTAATTATTCTCTCACGCATTAACTGAAACTTGTATTGATTAAAGAAAATTGAAGAACTTTTACCATCTCGCCTTGTCGCCAGATGGCGGCACATGCATGTCTGATTTTTCGATCTTGTATCGGAAGCAAAGAACATGTACAGTAGACTCCCGATTATCCGCGGGCCGATTATCCGGGCCTGCGGCACAAAGTTTTTTTTTTTTTTTTTTTTTTTTTTTACAAGCGTAAAGCAAAGAAAATAAAAATGTTCACAAAACTGAGAGAAACGTTAAATTTGCTAACATCGTGCTTATTTATAGCAAAAATACCCTAGGCCTTCTCGGAACCTTCCCCTCTAATGAGTAGTAGTAGTAACGGAGGACGTGAACCTCTGATGAGTAAGTGATTTCTTACTCACCCTTTCAGTGCCCGCTCCACCGCCCTCTCTCATCTTAATGTTACTGACACGTCCACTTTCTCCCATTCTTCATTGTTAGTTTAAGCCCGATAGTGTTTGCGAATCGGTCGGAGTTAATTTCTTATCTTTTATTGTGTTCAGTGCTTGTGCTTTTTGGTTTTGTGTTTTTCGTTACCGATTTAAAATGTCAGGAAAACAAAAGTAGTTTGTTGTTGACAATTGCGCAAAAACTAGAATTAATTTCCAAAAGTATCAAACGGTCGCTACAAGGCAGCAGATGGAATTGGATTACGGAATTCGCTGGAAACAACAGTGCGTGACATTCTAAAGCGCAAAGACAAACTGGTGAACTTTGCATCAATGTCGGACAGTGCTTCCGCAATGAAAACGCGAAAAACTATGAAGGGTTCTACCTTTGATGAGCTAGACATGGCATTGACAGAGTGGTTAGCTGAAATTCGAAAAAAGGGTACTCCTGTAAATGGTCATATCATTGCGGCGAAGGCATAAATCTTTTTTGAGTTGTTAGGCCTGAAAGAAAATTTTGATGCGTCTTCTGGCTGGTTGACTCGTTTTAAGCAGCGACATGGAATTTGAGAAATTGGACTTCATGGGGAGAATATATTAAGCGTAATAAGCTAAAATAGTAAGCGTTAGTTAAACATTTCCTGCTGTTTATTTTACGTTTTATTGTACATAAAACGATTTTTCAAAGTTTGAACGACTGCTTTCTTATTTGCTATACCCGTTTTTAGCTTTTTTCGGATTATCCGCGTTTTTTGTTATCCGCGCTGGCCGCGCCACCCAATTCCGCGGATAATCGGGAGTGTACTGTATTGTATACATAGACCTTCTTTGTCAGAAGTGTTATAGTGCTTATTTTCTAAACACCATTAAAGGTCTAGCTCTTTTTTTTCGAGCTTTTTTCGCTACAGGTTAAAATTCTAAATAGTTAGATGCCTGTTGTACCATCATTGAACTGAGAGTGGTGTAAAATTTTGCGCCTGAATGCAAACATTTTGTGATAAACATTATTCTGTTTTATATACAAGTTTTATATGTCAATTTATGATTTCCTTTGAAATTAGAAAACACATATATAATGCAAGACGAGCATTTAGTGAGCTTCATAATGAGATACTGGGAGGAAAGCATTCTCTACGTCATTTCATCCTTGAGCTTTGATTGTTTCAATAATATGATAATGGCCGACGTGGTGACGAACTGATAGTTACCTTCAGTGCGATTGGTTAACAAAGAGTATCTATTGTTTCTTAGTTATTAAACCATTGATCAAACTAAGTTTAGCCAAGGATCAACATTTATTAAAAAATATTGCAAGTGTGACTACATCTTTTTTAATTATTATTAGAATTTTACATTTAAAATTAATTTGTAGCGCATAAGATGAGCGATTTAAAAAAAGTAAGACTGATGTGGAATGCCGCCTTTTTAACGATAATTGGACATTTAAATTTAATCGCTAATAATGACGATAAAGCTGTTTGGTGTATAATGAAACTATTTCTATTTTTAAAGAATGTAATCTAAAAAGGCATTTTTCCACGAAACATTTCCTTAAAATAAACTTTTTTCACGGCAATAAATGAAAATCGAAACAGAAAAACAAAAACCAGCTTTCCGAAAGCAACAAAATACTGAGAAATTTATCAGACAGAGATAGAGTTCTTAAATGCTAGATACATTATTTGCAGAGCAGTGCAGATCATTTTCTGACGTGGAATTTGTGAATGAATGTTTGATAAATATTGTTGAATTATTATGCCCTGATAAAAACAAAGATTTGAAAAAAGCTCCTTGTCACGAAGAATTCTTGTGGGACGAATTGGTAATATTTTAAATAATTTATGTGGTCAATTAAAATTAAAATTGGAAATCTATTCTTACCATGCGCTGGCTTTAGATGAGTAATGTGACATAAACAGTACTAATCAACTTTTAATTTTTATTCGAGGTATAAATCATAAATTTGAAATAGCAGAAGAATTACGTTCCATATACCCTGAGTGGCCAAGATTATTTTTGTTGCTCTTCACGAAGTGTTGCAGAAGCGCAATATAAAATGGGAGAAAACTGTTAACATCACAAATAGTGGATGTCAGTTTGACAGGGAAAAGCATTGGATTGTTAAAAAGAATAACTGACAAAATAAAGAAGATTCTAGTGAAAGAAGTAATTTTATTACATTGTATTATTCATAAACAAAACAAAACACACACAAAAAAAAACTTTGTACGAGAGTTTTAAAACTTAAACATGGAGTATCGGTTGTAACGAATGTGGTTAGTTTCAATCGTGGAAGACCTTTAAGCCACCGGTAATTCGTAAGACTTTTGCAAGACACTGACTGTGAGTTTATTAATATTCCTTTCCACACAGAAATACGGTGGCTTAGTCTTGCAAAAGTGTTAAAGCGATTATATGAAATTACTAACCTTTTAAGTGCTAAGGACAAACTGAATGAATTCTGAACTACAAGAGGAACATTTGCTGAACGACATTTTTACTCCGTCGACCGTCATATGTTTTCACATCAGAATCAATTAAATTTGCCATTCAAAGAGAAGGGATAATTTGTTTTTGGGATGTTTACTAATGTCACATCATTTACCACTAAATTAAAACTATTTTCGCAACAATTTCAAAATAAACAGTTAACTCATTTTCCCATTTTGCAAGAAAGAAATACTTGAAAGGTAGTGATTTCAAAAAGTATGAAGCTATAGTAAGTGACTTGTACAATGAATTTATAAGAAGATTTGATGATTTTTAAAAGATTTTTGAAGATTTATCGTTAGTAACCATCCATTTAAATTTTAATGTCGCAGATGCACCATCTTACATTCAACTGGAATGGATAAATTTACAAGTCTGATACTTAAAAACCAATTTGCAGAAAAAACGGTAACCGAAACGGCACTAATTTTTACTGAGCAAACAAGCCTTCCTGCGGGAGTGATAAAATTTATAAATCTAAGTTCTAAAACTTTTGTAACAAAAATAAATGAATAAGTAAAAGAAAATCGTTCCGCGTTCATATGTATTTCTTATTTCAAGCAGCAGAAAATTCTCCGTTTCCCTCTCCTGCAGTTAATATTGAAGTCATATGGATACTACTTATATGCATAGGTTCCAGCTTTGTTTCAACCTGTAGCTGTCGATGCGGACACTTGTCCTGCACACAAGTGAAGTCTTGACTAAGGGTAGGTGATGTGGCTG